GGGGGCGGGGAGAGGCCCCGGGGCGGAAGGTGCCGCGGGGTGGGCGGGGGACACTGAGGGGCCGCGGCGGGGGCGGGGCCGGGCGCGCTGGGGCGGGAAGGTGCCGGCGGGAGAGAGGCGGGAACGTCCTGGGGCGCGGCCTCGCCTCACGCTGCTCCTCCGCCTCCCGCAGGGACCCGCCGCCGACCTCACCATGGGCAAAGGCGACCCCAACAAGCCGCGGGGCAAGATGTCCTCGTACGCCTACTTCGTGCAGACCTGCCGCGAGGAGCACAAGAAGAAGCACCCGGACTCGTCCGTCAACTTCGCCGAGTTCTCGCGGAAGTGCTCGGAACGGTGGAAGGTGAGTGGGGCCAGGCCGAGCCGTGCTGAGCCCTTGCCGGGCTGGCCCCCGCCCCTGCTGCGGGCTGCTGGGAAAAGATCCCTGGTAGCAGCTGCTGCTTAGGCGTTAGTGGGTCAGCAGCCGCTTTATCTCATCCAGACTCTTCCCCTTTCCCTGCCCCGTGTCCACAGACAATGTCGAGCAAGGAAAAAGGAAAGTTTGAAGAAATGGCTAAAGGAGACAAAGCTCGTTATGACAGGGAGATGAAAAATTATGTTCCTCCCAAAGGCGAGAAGAAGGGAAAGAAAAAGGACCCCAATGCTCCTAAAAGACCGCCGTGAGTGTTTCTATGACCCCCTCCCCCAAACCAGAAAAAAGTATTAGTTCTAATAGTTTGATACGTAACTTTAATCACTGTCTCTCAATGTAGATCTGCGTTCTTCCTTTTCTGTTCGGAACACCGTCCAAAAATCAAAAACGATCATCCTGGCTTGTCTATTGGAGATACAGCAAAGAAATTAGGTGAAATGTGGTCTGAACAGTCAGCCAAAGATAAACAGCCATATGAACAGAAGGCTGCAAAACTAAAGGAGAAATATGAAAAGGTACATTAAAAAAATAAAATAATGATTCAAGTTGTAGAGCTCAATGTAAATATGTGACTTATGTTTTGCACTTGAACCATATATAACTCATAATTCTACATCAACCTTTATCAGGCTTTAGAACACATGTGTGGTGGGGCAGGTATCTGGAACCCTTACAGTGAACCTGAATGTGGTTTTTGCGTGCCTAGAGATTTTACCAGTAAGATGCTTTACTACCAGAAAACAGGTCACCTGCTTGCTAACATAAAAACACAGTTGTTCTCCAGAGCACTGTGGTCACAAAATTCTTAAAACTCTCTGGATCATGTGTGCTCTTGCTAAAAGGTTTAAGCGTGAAAGTCCCAAGGTTCAGTTTCCTCCATTTTGCAAACACTGTATTTGATCTGCATAGTACAATAGTATTAAATTACTGAAGCAGTACAAATTTGTCTTAAGAGTTATATTGCTAGCAACTTAACAGCATTTCTCTTGCAGGATATTGCAGCATATCGTGCCAAGAGCAAGAGTGATGCAGGAAAAAAGGGCCCAGGTAGGCCTGCAGGGTCTAAGAAGAAAGCAGAACCAGAAGAGGAGGAGGAGGAAGAGGAAGAAGAGGAGGAAGAAGAGGAAGAAGATGAGGATGAAGAATAAATGAATGTCCTGCTGTAAAGATTTATGCTCAAAATCCAATATTTTGCTAAGAATGTGAACTCAAGTGCAGCTCATGGTTAGCTTCAGTATAAAAATCTGTACAGAATTGTGTATAGGTAATGTGGTTCTTTGTAGGGAGACTTCGATTTATAATGTAAGTAGTAGCCAAGGGCTGCTACAGTTTGGTTTGAAAAAGTTGTTGAATGTTTCTGCTGTTTCTTCATATTTAATGGTTCTGTTGAAATTCAGTGACTGATAGTCAGGTGTTTCTTTATAGCTAAGTACAAAGGAGGTAGCTTAATAGCTGATCTTATATTTTGTAGTATTTTGTTGCATTGTATTACTTTTTTAACAGTTTTGTAATAAAATGTTGTACATGATTATTGTTTTATTTATGGTGTTTTCTGAGAGGCTGGGCACTTGCAGAGTGCTGGAGTCCTGTGCAGGGAAGTGCTTTGCACTGTTCTTGGGCTATTGCTGTTACTCCAAAACTAGCAAGTCTCTTAACCTGTGGCTCCTGGAGCTTACACAGGTGTCTACACTTTTTTAACCACAATTTCCTCTCCTGCATATGCTATGCTTAGTTGCAATTGATGCTTTCCTTACACTACCATTTGCCTATACTATCTTGTGAGTGAAAAAAAATCTCTTCAAGTACTGAGGTTGCTGATAATTTTTCCAGGGTTGTTTTCTTTCCCCACACTGCTGAAGCACAGGTCTTATAGTTTTGTTTTGGTGTAATAGCTGATAATGAGTGAATCTTTAGAGCTTTCTCTCCCAGAGCTCAAGGTCACTGGCCTTTTCTGTTGTCCATACCAGGACAGGAGGGTTGGCTGTGTGACAGACATGGTTAGAGGCATGTCTTCCCAGATGTTGCCTACTCCCTCCCTCTTCCCCTGGCCCCAGTATTAGCGGCTTCTCATAAAATACACAGCTTGCAGAACAGCATGAAAAATGTTGGAATGTTATCTCCACACATGCCAGTGGATTCCTGCAGAAAGGGGAGAAGGCATTTGTAAAGAACATGTGCTCCTGATATGTTCCTGTTTGTGGTGGTAACACTCTCCAGTTACACCATTTCTTGGTTTTCACTTACTTCACCATATTTAAAAGCCTAAATCTAATATCTAACAATATTTGCAAGTAGGGAATTGGAGATAGTACAGGTAAACTAAATAGCTAAAGTTTAATTTTTTTGAGATAAATACCAGGAAATAGTTTTTACTAGACTTTGAAAGCCCAACAGTGAAATGTGTAATATCTAAAAAATTAGGTATAAAGGGCTGTGTTCCAAGGTTTTTGTTTAAACTGTCTCTCTATTGTCCATCAACTTAGGCAATATGTTTGTGTCCCATCATTGTACATGTGTGAGATAAAATGTTTTCAGCACTATAACTGTGGTAAATGTCACTGTAGTAGGTCAATGATAGCTTAGCACTTTCAGAAACAAGTCTTGACAGAAAATACTTTGTATATTCCTGTAAGTATGGAAATAAAGTAACTGTAAAGGCAATTCAAACATTTTTATACTGAAGTACGTATTAATCTTTGGGACCCTTAGAAACCCAGAGTTGTTTTTTCCTCCCCACCATGCCCCTGAAATACTTAAAGTGGTATCAGAAGGATTAGCTGCTGTTTTACATATGGGACCTGCCAGAGATACTTGGCACAGGCAGGATCAACGGCTCCAATTTTTGGGCTCATATTTTGGGAAGCCACAGGCAAAAACTGGAAGTGAGAGGCAGTGGTTCTGTGCATGGTACTTCAGTGCTCAAGAACATTTTCTGTAGAATTTGCAGTCCTACAGCACCTGTATCCTTAAATCAAAAATTCTCCCAGCTAAAGGCAATTCCCTGTCATAGTGTAAGACCATGCTGGTCTCACTCATTGTCAGCATATCCTGTTCAGATTTCCCTGTGGAAATCACCTCCTCCCAGTTCTCATGCTCCTTCCCTGTGCAGAACAGTGATGCTTCAGGAAGTCTTTAGGTTTAAATAATCTTCTGCAGTGGAGGAGGAGGAGTGTCAGAGTAAATTGACTAATTTGATTATTGCAAATGTTTTTTACTTCTGCTCAAGCACTTTTAAATTGAAACAAAATATAGCCCTCAGGTGTCCTAGAAGCTGCATGGGTTATAGAATTTTAAATACTGTGTCAAAATAAGAGCATATCTTGAGATAATTCAGAATAAGGGAGCTCTTTTAATATTTTCCTCAGTGAGGTAAAATAGCTTTTGGATTCTATTTCATTTAATCATTAACTGGCTAATTTAGCTTCAGCACGACTTCTGCACAAATCAGTGCAGAGCTGCCTAGTGTTGCCACTCTCTTGTCCCACATTCTAACAATGCTCTATGAAACACTAGCTGTGGGTTACTTTTCTTTATGATCTCATTCACAAATATATCCTGACTGCTGGAGAGATCTTTTTTTGCAAAAAATAGGCTACTGCACTGCTCTGTAGCCTGCCCCACATCATGAGACAGTCTCTTTGTTTACACACCATGTCAGCATGAGCTGCAGCAAGTCACGGCAAAGCTCTGCATTGGGCTGATCTATTAACTGAGAATGATGTCATGACTAAAGATAAGTAGCATTTTTAAAAAATAATATTTTGTCCCTTCTCTAAGGATGTTGAATATAAAGGCAAATGGAACAAAGCACATGAAAATTGCTATTTTCAAATTAAGCTTTAAAAAGTATGATATGTCAGGTTAGGGGGTTCAGATAATCCCCATCTGTGAGCATTCACTGGAAAGGACTAGTAAGTGATCAAAGTGTAACGGGACTGTTCAGGAAAGATAAGGCAATAGAAGAAAAGCTAAACTAGTTCTTCCCATAATTTTTTAATATGGACAAACTTGTGAAATAGCTCACTAGAGGTGAACTGGGAGGTCTGTCTAAAATCAAAACTAAAAGGGATGCCCCGAGTGGTTGGAGGCATCATGCAGAATGCTCACACTGCACTAGAGGTCCAGCATAAAGGCATCCCACATAGTAAAGCAGACCAAACGACTACCAAAAATAAGACTGAGGTTGATAAAGAGCAGGAATGAGAGAATAACAAATGTAGGAAAGCAAGTCTTTAGAAAGTTCAAATTATTTCTAAATCAATAATCCAGAAAAAAAACAGCACATCAACAGGCCAGACACAGCAACATGTGGCAAGGAAGAAAAGCATCAGGGCACCTTGAGAAAACAGATGGACTAATAACAACTTTCAAATACATCTGTCATGGTTCAACCCCTTCTGGCAACCAAGCCCCATACAGCCACTTGCTCACTCCCCCACATGGTGAGACAGGGGAGAGAACTGGAAGAATAAAAGTAAGAAAACTCATGTCTTGAGATAAAAACAGTTTAATAACTGAAATAAAATAATAATAAATTAATAAATTATAATGAAAATAAAAATAACAAAAAAGAGAAATAAATCCCAAGACAAACAAGTGATGCAAATGAAAGATAATTTCTCACCATCGACCAGTTCTCAAGCAGTGGCCCTAAGCCAGCTTTCATCCTGGTTATATGCTGAGCCATGCAGCATGGAATATCTGTTTGGTCAGCGGATGTCAGCTGTCCCAGCTGTGTCCCCTTCCAGCTTCTCATGTACCTCCAGCCTCCTTGCTGGCAGGGCAGCATGAGAAGTTGAAAGGTCCTTGACTTAGTGTAAACACTGCTCAGCAACAACTAAACCATCAGTGTGTAATCAACATTATTTTCATTCTAAATCCAATACACAGCACTATACCAGCTACTAGGAAAAGAATTAACTCTAACTCCTCCAAAACCAGGGCATTCTCAGAACCAAGAGGGCTGCCAAACTGTCCTAGGGACAATAGATGCTCAAGATACAGTAGCATGACTAGAGAAGATTTCAGAAAAAGAAAACTTCTTTTTTAACCTTCTAGAGAAGCTTCAGGAAGTTTTCATGACACAACTTTATAATGGAAGAGGCATGGTGAAGCATCTGTCTCAAATCCAAGTGTAAAAGGTCTTGAAACAAAATGACAGGACAGATGGTATTCATCCAGAAGTTCTAAGGAAACTCAAATGCTGAAATGGCTGAACTATGAACCATACTTTATATTTTTTTTCACTTAAAACTAACTGCCTTAGTGCTAGAGGAATTAAAGGTCACAAAAATGACACTAATTTTTAGAAAGCATTCTGTGGAGATACAGGGAGCTTCAGACCAATAATGCCCATATGGTAAGTTGGTAGGAGCCACAGTACAGCCGAGAGCTGCTGGACAAATGGCTAAATAGAACTTGTGATTTCACAAGAGGAAATCGTGTTCCACAGATCTGTAAATATTCTTCAAAGAAATCTGTGAACTTGAAGGTAAAGGAGATCAAATAGTTCTGGTCTACTTGAGTTTGGCCTGGTCTACTTCCTATAAAAGAAATAAGTCACTATTTAAGATCTTGCATGAATGAAAAGAGCTAACAGTGAAGAACTGTAAAGCCAGCCTGCAGCCTGAAGTGACAGCATAGTAAAACAAGCAGGTGAAATACGGTATTAATACACAGTGTATTAATTGATATGTGCTCGCCCCTCACATGTAAAGAGGAAAATGCAGGCTTAATGTTCATGTCATAGGTAACATGGGTAGACAATAAACTACATTACATTACTCTGGAGGAGATGCTGGAGCTGTAAGAGATAACTCTGTGAAGATGTAACAAATGTTTGCTAGAAAAGCAAATAGCATGTTAGGCATTATTAGGTAAAAGAGTTAAGGACAAACCAAATATGTAGTATTGCCTTATCATCTTCCTAAAGGAATATAAAGTTTCCTTTTTCTTAGATCATCTCAGAACAAAGCCTATTTACAAAGTCGGTCTTATTTTTCCAAAGCAAAACCTATGGTCTGGAAAATTCTAAATTTGCATGAGTGTGTGTGTGTGTGTTTGTGTGTGTACATGTGCACAAGTGCATCTTGTTTAGAACAGCTACAGACCTGGGGACTGACTGCAGTATATACAGGCTTTAGAACTGCTACAACACAAATGAAGTTGCAAACGAGTGTGGAAAGAAAATCAGAAAAAAATCAAATAGGAGTTTTACCTTTGATTAGCCAATGACCTATTGAACCATTTCATAGGAGTGTATCATAGCCATCTGGTATATAGTACTGGTACATAATTCAGTACATATTGCTCAGAGATGGATTATTTGCTGTGGTGGTGACTGTCACTGATCCTGCTTCACTTGCCTTACCACCCTTAGCATATATTTATTTTTCTGTTTATTTTCTCATTTTGGCTTGTATTTCTGTCCACATCTTGAAATATATGTGTTTTTCCAGCAACCTCTGCATTTCCAAAATTGCTGGATCTCTTATATGAGCTGCATCACAACCTGTCTGCTTTTCCGTAATCCCATTTGAATCCAATGTAAAGAGTCCCATAACAGAGCCCAGATGTCGAGCTCACTGCTGCATTTTCCAATGGACACAGCCCTTCAGGGAAACATTAAGTCTCCTAACTGTGGGATATCATGAAATTCAGATCTACCTGGTCAAAAAGCTGACTGCCTACACAAATTCCTCAAGTTACTTAATTGTCACAGGCCAGCACCAGTTAGTGAGTGAACCTGTATGTTGCTCTCATTATCCTGTCCTGTGATCATCTATCCCCCTCAGCCTCAATGTTGGAGAGGCTTGTGATGTTCCAGGACTGAATGTGAAGTCAACCACCAGAAAAATCTTTATAGTCAGCAGATCCAGTGCTCCGTCTATAAATTGTATGGCTATTCTAAGTATTTCCTGGCCCAAACATCTAATGGTGAAGTTTGTACCCATAAATCAGTTTTCCAGCAGAGCTGGAGGGATGTTTGTGTGGATAAGATCACAACATTCTAAAAGGCCTTTTCAAAAATGAGCTGTTGATGATGTTATTGTCAGCGCTGCTAGCTCTAGTCAAACTAGCTCCTGGCTGGCTGAACCCTGCATGGACCCATCACTGACCACTCGTTCAGGAATTAAGACCTTTAACAAGCCTTCATAATTCGCCTATATCTCACTGATTTGTCACTGCAGAAGAGTGCACTGCAGAGCCAGAAAGCCTGTTCAGAAACCTTCAAACTCTTTGCATAAATCAGATGATGCATGACCAAAGCCTGTGTAGATTCAAGCAGCAGTTGGACAAATTTTGGACTATTAAATATAAAATACTATTTCTAGTCAGAAAGTGCTTGAGTTATATAATGCCAGAAGTAGGGACAATCTTAGACAAGTATCCTTGCTGCATCCTTTCACTCTGCCCCATGTTCTTTGACCATACTGATCCTTCTGACCACTGAGTGAGACAGGCTGCTGTGTTGCCTGGACTTTTGATCTGATCTTGCATGTGCTTTTAAGTTCAAATGTTACATTCAATTCTTATCCTAATTCAAAACATTTTTAGCTTGTCCATCAGAGACAAAGGGTCCTGACATGGTTGGAGAATGAACTCCATTTTCCTCATAATCATCACATGGAAGATAATGCAATACTATGGCAGGAAAAGAAAAAAAAAAGCAGGAGTGTTTCCTATTTCCAACTGGGAATGACCCAGTTCAGTATTACTGTATCCTCAATAGCTTTAATATCAGTAGTAACCAGACCCCACTCTGCTATAGGGTTACAGAATTGTTTTCCTCAGCAACACCCCACACCATCTTACCTTCATGTGCACATACAGCAGGACAGACAGCTTTCCCTTCCTTAGCCAAGTTGATTAGCTTGGTCTTTAGAGGCTCCTCGGCATCTTCAGGACAGGCAGGACTTCAGTGCATTCCTCAGTGCAATTGAAAGAGCAGCATGACTAGAAGTGCTTCCAGAGCTGGGTGTGCTTTTTCTTCTGGTCAGCTTTTCCCAAATCTCCCCTCCTTATGAACTCACAAGAATCTTCCAGAAGGCTTCTACTTTCATCCAGTTCTACTTTCTTTCACAGTTTCTCCTGCCTTAGAAACAAAAATATGAAAACTGCACGAGTAGCTGCCTGTTGGGCAACTGTGATGGCCCTGAGGGCTCTGGCAAAAGGCTGTAGCCATCCCGCAGGCTCAGGCTAGCAAGGCATCCATTGCCAGGCAGGGCTCAGGATCTCCTGTGCCTACCACAGAATGAAAGTGCTTCCCCAGTGCAACAAGATCTCTGGCTGTATGGAAGCAGAGCTGTATAGAAGCAACCAACAACCCTTAGAAGTGACAGTACCAGTCCTCATGGCTGTGGCACAGCTCTTACCCACAAGTATTAATGCTGTATCCTGTGGCAGGTCTAACTCAGAGAACATGCACTCACATACACAGAAGATCCAGAGGACTTTATACTCAAAGACCCACTGCTGTTTAATGTCAGGGCTTGTTGAAAGATACTGGCCTACATTATTTTCCTGGGGAATCCTCTCATAAATTTCAAGGAAAAAGGTTGTATTTTGATTCCTATTTCCACCCCAGTGCCTTCAAGTGATTCAGAAAGCCTATTCTAAACTGTGCTTCTCCATCTGAAGACTGTGGTTTAACAGCTGTCTGGGCATGTTGCCTTACCTGACACACACTGCCACCAGCAGCTCTTTCCAGGGAAGTAAAATATCGTCTCTCCATTATATTTTCCCTTTCCCTCTCAGGACCCCTGGGATGCTCAGCCAAAGGGCTGCTGATGCCATCATGCACATCTCAGGCATTAGTTTGTTTTGGTTTTATTGTGAATTAGTGCTATGCTGCTTCTCCCACCTTTCTGCTCCTTTCTTGTGCAGGAGACATTAATGCTTGCACAGGAAACATCATGGAGTTGTTCGAACTGTCACACCACTGGAGGCAGTTCTGTTTTCACACTGACTGATCACATTCATGAGAGCTGTGGGACCCACCCAGCCCTCAGCTCTGCTTTATCCGCCCTCCACTTCAGAGGGGACACTTCTTGACCCTAAAGCAATCGTGTTTCTTCTCTGTGAAGCATATTTGTGAGAAAAAGTAAGGATCTAACAAGCAAACATACCTTTTCATCTTGGTGTTTGCGCAGCTCTAACTCCTCCTTACGCACTTTGATGCTTGTCACCTTCATTGACCTGTTGACTGAAGAAACATGCATTTTTCATCAGTCAGTTCAGACCCATCAGACCATCAGTTATGCCACTACCTCACTGAAGATTCTCTACCCATACTGTTGTTCAGAAAAGCCACAGAGCAGTGCAATGTGGTAAAAATTCTAAGAGTTGTGCAGATAGCTTAGTTTTAGTTTTACCAGGACCTGTATTACATGGTAATGGAGAATACTTCATTTGTTTCTCCATGTAAAAAATGGACTAGATTTTTAAGATTTTAAAAAATAAAGGTTACTAACCATTGCCTGGGTCACTGAGATGTATAATCCACAAAAGCACCTCTTCCCACTTTGCTGGGATCCATACCAGTGACCACAGCTGAGGGTGCCATGAGGGAGGCAGCACGTATCAATACACATGCTTGTGGCAGCAGTGTGTGAGGTAAGATGACCAGAAGCTACCCACAGTGAAAGGAGGACCAAAGCGGTTTCAGGCTTCAGGGATTATGCACAGTTGATGTTTTTTTTTTTTTAAACCCAAGGGAGCCAAAATCACCTGCATTTTTTGATAGCCTATTACTTTTTCTACCTAGACTCATTCTACGTAGAGAATCCTCTCATACAGTGCCAGCCAAGCTACACAACTTACTATTCCAACATTACAGGAATTCAGAGGAGGCTTGCATGGTATGTAAACTCAACAACCAGAGGACTAAATGCTGGCAACTAGTTCTGATGTTCCCAGAAAGTACATATTACCCTGGAAGATAACCACTGACACTTCTCAAGGATTATTCTCATAAAAGTAAGCCAGATAAGATTTCAGAACACAGCAAGACATAGTATTCCCATGCTTCTTATAGCGAAGAAAACAACAAACAGAAACACAAACACGGCCAATTTGTTTTTCCTTGAGTTGTTCCTTTTCACCTATTACAATTGATGGATCCAAGCTCACCAGCAGGAAACAATAAATGCTTTTACAGAAACAAAGTTTGTGTTCAATGGTGTAGATGATTTCTTCTTCATGTTCTTAAATTCCCCTTCTTATTACTTTGCTTCCATGGATCTTGCTCAATTTGATCTTTTTTAACGTAAAAGGAAAATTGATGCACAGCAAAATCTACCAAAGCACCTTTTGTGTTTTTATAGGCAGTGGTATGTTTTGCTGTTTCTTGTGAGAAAGCTCACAGATTAGAGTTAAGCATAAAACTTTTACACCTCTGGCATGGTGTAATAGATCTCAAGTTTCTTAATCAAGTTTCAGAGCTGTAAGTTGATAATTTTTGGCTTTAAGGACTGCAATTTGGAAGCAAATGGTATGGAGGAAGCAGACAGTAGTAAAGGAGATTGATTAGCATTAGGGAAAGAGAATGCACTGATTCTACGATGCCACCAGTGGGGACAGCATCTTTGGTGCCGCCCAAAGTGTGCTGTAGGTTCTCCTGGTGCTAGGATCTCTGGTAATGAAGAAAGATGTCCCCTTCTTCCTATCACTCCTTGTTTTCATACATAAAAGGGTATTGCCTACATGAATTGTCTCTTCCTATACTTCCATGATTTTGTCAAAGGAGCTTTTCGAAATCTGAATACACAAAAGTGCACTGACAGATATGGCCGGGAAGCAAGAATCCCATCCGTAAAAAAGCCCTGTAGATTTCAGCATTTAGGTTTGCTCTTAGGCCAGAACTTGTGTCTTTCATGTCCCAATTTAATTGCATACTCTTTTGCTAAAGAAACTTCTCAGGAAAAAATAAAGTTTGATTGAAACATGTTTGCTGGCAAAAACATCAATGAACCGAGATAAAATATAGTCAAAACACTACAAACTAGTCCTGATGCTTGGTTCTACTTTAGAAATAATTCTCAAGTTCATTTGCTATAAGTATATTAAATCTACCTAATTAGATCAGGGCAGGTGATATGAAAATCCAAATATGTCTATGTGACAGCTCTCAGTGAGAATTTTTCATTTCACTGGAAAAATTACCTGAGTCCCCACAGATGCGACAAAAGGCACCTATATAAAAATTAAAATAAACCACTTTCAATATTTGTAAGTTTGTAATATTGAAGTTGTCTAGATTTTGAGATACGGGGTTTCTATAAAGATAATAATTCATTTTTACTTTGTAAAAGTATAGTAAACCGAAAAATTCAAATATTTTATTTACTTCACCTAAAAAACAAGCAACCCATGAGTAAGATATACATAGGTTTCCCAGATTTATCCCTAATAAATTTTTTAAGATTTATACAATTTCTACAGAAACATACAGTGTATCAAAATCTGCATAAATCAAATTTATAAAATATGTAGAAATGCATAGTGATATTATCATCAACTTACAAAGCAAGAATATGGGAATTATTTTTTTCCAAGCCAGCTATAGTAGGAAAAAGTCATTACAGCAACAGCTTCTTATGATCTCATGTTTTGTAAGGTTTCAGTCTCACATACAGATTCATATTCACATACAGCATCAGCTTTCAACGAATTGCACATAATACCCATTTAAAATGCACACCCACACAATTTATGTGCCACCATTCTTTCTTTTATGCATAGTTGTATGATTAAATTAATCTACCCAACACACAAATGGAGTCAGTTTTCATACACACAATTAACAAGTACCGGCACACAACCTTATTTTCCTTTCTTTTTTTTCCAGTTTCTCCCTCCTTTATTTTCTATTTTTTCATAGCTCTGAAAGGATAGGTGAGAAGTTTAAAGAAACTAGGAAAGATCCCAGACTAATAGATCAGTGCAGACAGCCCTATAAAGATCAAACTCTGTCACCAAATATGATACATAACCCTTGTTAACATCAATGGGAGCTGCATGCAGTGCTATTCTAGACTTCAGGGAAGTATTTAGTCATACTTGATTGTGTGACATGTTATAGGGATAACTGTTATAAATTCAGTACACTGATGTCAACATTTAAGTCACAAAATCTGGACAAAGGAAGTGAGGATAAGTCATTTCTCCTCCACCTCTCTATTCATTCAGAGTAAATATTTATACTCCTAAGGGAGTTTGCATCAACTCCTTTCCAGAATATATTAAGAAACAACTTCTTCACATTCTACTCTGTACACTATAGCACCGAACAGTTGTTTTTTGTGTTTGTAATCCCTCCAGAGAAGTTGCAAATGACAAAAATAAGAGGAAAATTAGTATGAATAAATGTGGTTTCAGGATTTCCATTTCTTTTTTCAAATCTAAATCTGGCATCCAAACTGGTTGACAGATGTCTTTGTAATGAACTATGCGGATGTGTTAAAAGCTGGATGCTTTTTCCTAATTAAAAGTTTTAGTCCACCTCTAATTGATTTCCATTCAAAATAACAATATAAATGAAGCATTTGATTATTTCCAAGTTTTACATAATCGTGCAGCTTTTTTTTTGTTTATTTTAAATATTTTTATGTAAGGCATGGTTTAAACAAGCAAGTTAGTGCTTATAAATTCTTAACTGGAATTGTGAGGGTGCTTACCTCCATTAAAATGTACCGCATTAGCACTAAACTTGACACTCTTCCTTCCACCGCACAAAGCATTCAGTCGAAGTAGAGCAGCCAAACTGGCAATAGGAATTTGTTTTTGCTAACACAGTAATTACATAGGGTGATACAGTTGGTCCCTACCCCTGGTGACAGCTCAGAAAAATCCATTGTATAATTTTCAACAAATGCTTTTCTTGTGAAAGAGAGAAAGGAAAGAGGCACTAAATATGTTGAAATTCATCTTCCAAAAAAGCAGCATGACTGTGAGAGAAGGCCACCCTGGCTAATAACCTGTGGCAGTGCTTAGTAAGATGTAAAATTAAATAAAAATATACAACAGGTTGATAATCACCAAGTTCTATGAAAATCTGGTTACTCCAACCTTTTCAAGTGTGTGTAAAAAAACTGCCTTCAGACCCCTGAGTGTAATCCCAAAGAAGACGACAACGCTTTTAACTATGTTCCTATGAAACATAGCTAACAGCACATTAATTTACCAACATCTTAAAACAAAAAGATGTAAACATCTACAGAGTTTAAGGTAAAGCAGTTTGTAAACATTAACTGCGGATGATAATGTTATTGTAATAATCACAGTTCCTCTATGTCCTTCATCCAAGCCAGGAGGCTCACAGCTGTCCAAATTAATAACTGCAGCAGTTTTCAGGCTATTTTCAGTCCTGTACAAATGAATGCGTCAGTAGGTAGGTTTTGTCTGTCTACACACTAAGAATGTTGTTCATTTCCCATTTTTGTGTTGCTTTACTGGAGTCACACTCTGAAATGAAAACTTGATGGAGGACTTCGGAGCGATCCAAGCACTTCCCTGACGGAATGTGAGTAAATCTGTGCAGATTCTGAAAAACAAAACCATCAGGAAAATGTGTTGGGCTTTTGTGTTTGGTTTATTTTTCTTTTGTTTGGGGTTTTTTTGTTACATTTTTTTTACAACTGCAATATAACTATTTACAAAACCAGGTTTCAGGGTCCCAGAACAGATCAGTTCTATACTCATTTTACTATTTGTTAAAACTAGAGTTTCATAGCCTTCGTAGCCTTTTGGTTCATGTAGGTCCACTTGAGATGCCTCCTGTTTCTCTTAGGCAACAAACTGCTAAGAAAATGAGCAAAACTGTATCTAAAATGCTTCTAGCCTTTTCATCCATCCTGAAACCAAAATGAAAGATTAATTTTTGAAGTCAGCTCTATGAGGATTTCCCTGGGCAGATCCTCCTCTAGTTAGCCCTCACAGAATGCAACTGCGCAACAATAATATTAACAACACAGGGGGGAAAGGAAGTACTAACTTGTCTCCCTGTTTGGCTGGCAGAGTAGAAAATATAAGAGTTAAGTCTGGCTTCTGGAGCAACAGGAGGCTGCCTAAGAAACTGCAAACCTATTGTGCCAGGCACATTCAGGCTGAGTGGCACATTTGTCTCTTTCCACACCCCCTGTGCTCCCTTGCTCAAATGTCCTGCATTTGCAAAGTGGCCTGTTGCCCTGCTTGCTGACCCACTGTGCCAGATGCAGCCCTGACTCACTGACTGATTCCCTAACTCACTGCCTGTGGAGGGGAAGGGAGCAGAAGCAAGCCCATGGCACTGCAGCGGGGCCAACTGTGCCCATCTCCCCCGGACATAAGGACACTCTTTGCCACCCCCACACACATGTGCATGGCCAAATGTTGGTTCAGCTCAATACTTGCTCCTTCTGTGTGGCCAGCATGAGGGTCCTCTACTTGGAAAGGTAAATGCATGTCTGAACAAAAGCAACAGGCAGACCACTGCCAGCCCGGTTGTTAAGACGCTTGCTTATGGGCACCGAAGCCCTGCTACTGCTCAGCGCTCAAGCAGCACACGTTACACCACCAAACTGACACACAAGCTTTCATTCCAGAACCAACCAACCAACCAGACAAAATCTCCTGGCAGCTTTCATTTACACAAGGCCACAACATTTTTCAGCAGTTCATAAGCATTGAATTCCTTACACCTTCCTCATGCTCTCTGTACTGCACAGCAGAGTGTGCCAGATTTGTACTATTTGCTTGGTTGCACACTCTTGGTGGTCCTTTCACTCTCACCCTCCCTTCTTTTTCCTTTTAGAAGCCAGTCAGTGTTTTGTTCTACAGCCCAGCCCATGCCTACTGGGCTTCCTTACAACGTGTGGTAATAAGCAAACAATTACACAACTTGGTACCAGTGTAGAGAAAATGGATCTTCTTGCATAAAAGAAATGCTTAGAGAGAAGCCAAGTAACATGCTGGGATGCAGTAGAATGGCTGGAGAGTTAACAACTGCTATGTATTATTCCAATATTAAAACTAAAGTCAGCAGGCACTGAAACACTGCTTATTGATTTTTACATTTCAGATTTAAAGAATTTTGTCTGTCTATATGGCACAAGAAAACTGATCTAGGCAGAAATGGCACTACAGTGCCTGGTATTTCCTAGCTATATGCAAACACTAGAAAGAGTGAAGTGGCTTAAAGGATAGCAAACAGATTTCCCTGCACTCAGTGCTCGCATCTTTCAGACAAACAACAAAAAATCCAGATAACCAGCTAACAAATTATTAAATAGGCAATATGCTAGTTAGACTGAAGAAAAGTTGACACAGAATAGTTTCTTAGATACAGAACCAAGTTACGTGTGGCTATATCCAGGGATAATGTCACCCTTAGACTATTCAGTCTAATTTTTTAAGAGACAAACAGAAATAGAACCTTAGACTTTTTTTAAAGTAACACTTACAAAACTACTATGAATAGAGAACTCACAGATGTAGTGAATAAATAGACTATAGCAGCCTTCACATGTATATCAGCTAACATTCCAAGTCCTTATCAAAAATTTACAGATTTCGCAATAGCATTATAACACCACCACACCCAGAATTAACAACAGAGCATGTTATTCTTATTAGAGAATGGCTAATGAAGAGGAAAAAGAAATACTGAAGAAGACAACACAGAAATGCAGAGTATGTTACATTTACCTACTGCTATGCAGGCTTAAAATTACTTTGTCTTTAAACAGAGAAACACTTCAATTTAGACTGCCCAAAATTAGACCTAATACTGACTCTAGCTGCTAAATGCACTCCAGCATTTAAGCAATCTTCTCACAGCATACATGAGATAAAGAAACTTTCTTGATAGAAAGTATGCAAGCAGAGAGGGTGATGGCACTAAAAGCTTTTATAAACTTTGTCACTGGTAGTGGACATGCCCTTTTCTTCCTGTGAGACAAGTGCTAACTCCTAACAAACCCGTGGCAGCATATGTAGCCTCATAAGATTTCTCATAATGACTCATAATCTCATAAGATTTTCCTTAAAGAAAGGACAGAAGACAGCTACAGAAGACAACAACTAGAACTGCTAAACAAAAGCACCTTTCCCTAGAGGAAGTTTTTCTGGCAAGTATGTATTTCCAAAAATATACCATTAAAATTTACTCCACTTGATTCAGTTAGCCTTGTCATAAATCTTTAATTTTAAATATACATAAAATAATTTTAAAAGGTGCAAAAAAAAGGATAAAATCTAAAAATTTTTCTTATACATATCTGTTGCATACCTTGAAGAATTGCCAGTCCTTGTATTCATTCTGATTACAGTGTGTAATCATAATTTTGGATCCATCTGGTCCTTTAGTTAAGCACTGATCATACTGCATGAGTTGATTAGCTTCGTTGATTCGGAAAAGCTAACAGAAAAAAAGAAGCCATTTTTATAACAGTTGACTCAAGGAGTATTTTAGAAACACTGAAAATGCAAGGAAACTGCTACATTCAAAAAAGTCTCTGGTTTTATTACACCTGCCTTTCAGGAGGGTTCTTTATTTTATACAATGTAACACACCTTTACTATCACAACAGTAAATTTCATGGATAACTTTCCTGTAGGATTTAGAAGGCTAAGAAACTTAATCAGCAAGACAAAAACGGTGAAGGGATTCCTATCGGGCAGACTTCTGAAAAGTGTTTGATTAAAAACCTTTGTATGATTTGATGGCCAAACAGTCCACTATCTTTGTAAAAGTCTGGTACCAAGTCCTTAGTCCTGGACAGTAATTTCACGTGAAAACAGTAAAACTTCGGCATTTTACCCATGGAGGAAATCAAACCCATGCATCTAGATATAAAATATCTTAGCTACTTCTTATGAAATAATTATTACAGGAAGTTTTGCGTATCATTTCATATCATATATCATATCATATCATAGTTTAGGGAACCTTTTCATTAAATATCAAAATAAAAGAGACATTTCCAGGGCTACTAAGAGCTAATCCATATATGATTTGTAAAAACATCATCCTGCATGTGATTTCTGTCTGATGACTGCCATCATAAACTGCCTGGTTTAAGTTTACAACGGCTTAAATAAGAACTTTAAATTCTGAAAAAATTTCCAACCGAAAAAGGAGGTGTAGAGACAGAACAGCAGGTTTATGTGGTAATGTGAAGGTTTGTGAAGATACAGGTCAAATACAAGAGAAGTTTGGGTTGCAATCATCTAATAGTAATTATGTTCCGTCAATTAATTTGTAAATGGGGCAGACAAATTTCTATTCAATTTCTTCTCTCGTGTGGTGGAAGATGAGTTATTGCACAAAAGTGTTTTATACTTCCATTAGAGCAAAACAACTTTGTGAAGTAATTGAGACAGAGTGAATAAAAGGGTTATCCTGAAGGATAAATTATTAAGTGAAGATAAGTGATGAACAGGAGCAATGCTAAGAGCCGTAGTTATTCTAATGCAGTGATATGATTGCTTCCTTATGCTTTGGAGAAGAGACTAAGAATTTGCCTTCAGTTTTGCACCAAAATGTTTGAAATGGTATTTTCAGATTGCCATACTTTAGCAATGTCATTATGCTTATGGAAAATCCTAACTCCCATCTTTGTAGCAGGCACCTAAGTGACTTTATGTACAGGCTTAACAGAAAACCAGCCTGTTATCAATCCAGAGCAATCAATTCACCTTCAGACTTGCCTCCAACTTCCTTACCTGATTTCCTCCCATTCTGTGGCATGGGCCAAGCTCAACAAAGCCACCGTTGGTGTGCCCCATGCTGTCGATGCAGTAAGAGGTTTCAAAGCCTCTAATCTGGAAAAGAGGTTTTGCAGTCTGTGTTACTCTCAAGGAAAAAATAAGTGACAAGGAGTTCAGAAAATTCCCATTTATTTTTCAAACCAGAAACAGGTATCTGACAGAGAGAGATGAGACAAACCTGTGTATGAAATTTAAATACTGATGTTAACCATTCTGGAAGATGGAGCTTCAAGCTGCCCATGCTAATTTGCAGGCTCTTATGTGAGTTGGAGTACACTGGTAAGTTAGAGTTGCAGAGCTTAGTTCCAAATTAATAGCATCAAAATATCAAGTATTTTAATTTATTCAATCTGCTATTAGAGCATGTTCCATCTCCCATGTTTTCATAAATAAAGCAGGAGCTCAGCTAAGTTGCTCTCTCTCATCTTGTGGATGAAGAGAAGTGGGATGCAGAGAAGTTATGCACAGCAGCTATTACCCACAGCCAGGCACAGCCCACTGGCCCTGCTGCTCAGATGTACCTTCTGCAGCAGCAATTACATGGGAAAAAAAAAAGAAATAAAATTGACGAGAGGCAGGCACAGGCATAGGAATAAAGAACAGAAGTCCTGTCATAAAGCATGCCTCAACTGCTGATTATCTCACTCCCTTCTCAGAAGGGCCAACAAGCAGATTTACAAAGACTTTATGACACAAATAACATTTTCCCCAGATCTATTTTCTTTGCCAGAGCCTCTTTCCCCTTCGTAATGGCACAGAAAATCTGGAGGACTAGGCTTAGACCTGACTTCCAGAGAGCATTAGGGAAGATGAACCCCTTTCATCTCTTATGGTTTGGAAATGCAATCAGTGTGGTGTTACAAATAGGGGAGGGGAAGGAGGGATTTATCAGATGTAGGATAACTAGCACCCTGTGAAGAAGAGTTGAAGAAAACTTCAGAGAAGTCTCTGAACTTAGAACTTTCCTGTTGCTTCACCAGACCTGCTCGCTTTTACCAGAGATGGTTTCCCGCAAGGTCGCCATTATTATTTTATTCTCTTCAATGCTTTCACCTCGGTGATTAGTTTTATAAAATGTGCCTTCATAACCCTTTATGTAGATTCAAAAGAAGGTCTAAGGCTAATATAAGTAGCTGATGTTTTGTGCTAGCTTTCAGGTAAGAAATCAAGGTAGCATTGTTCACTTGGTCCTTCAGATAAAAGATTTTCATGCGCATGCTCTGTATTGCTAATTCTTCTGAGAAATTAGAGATGACACTTCCTTAGCCATAAGAAACAGCACAGATCAGTACTTTTTAATCCACTTCTGAAATTACAAAAACAGGTCCATCATATCTTGGGAAAGAAGGTTGTTAATTTGGTGGGACACAGGAGTTCTTCTCAGTTAGCAAGAAGATTTTCTGATTTTGCCTCAACAATCTGCAAAAGTGAAATTAATACGAGAGGGCAAGGCTGGAATCAACTGCAGAGGGGAAAAAAAATAAAATCTAAAAGCTGGCAGAGGACCTGTGGTAAGTGCTCTCCAAGGTGTGGGCTAAATGCTAGAATGAGACAAGCAGGGTTCAGTGAGGTGTCCTGCATTCACCTGATGATATGCTACCTCTCTCTGCCAAACACCTGAAAATGCCATATTTATAACCACTTTCTTAATTTAGTGAAGTCATACTTATATACAGTAACGCTGGAGATGACAGTTACAGAATCATATCAAATTATTACATGCAGATGAGGGATTCACTGAGGCTGTAATTGTATGAGTACACCCCAGTCTAGCAAGCGTGGGCAGAATGTACTCCACCTTGATTTCATAATCTATTTTCTAGTCCTTCCCAGAAAAATATTTTCACCCATTAATCTTCACCAATACTCCTACATGCAGGATTCACATTTTTTCTTTTTAAAAAACCTAAATTCCAATTATAGAAAAAAGAGCTTTACATATAACTGAAGACAGAGCCAGGCATAAATCATCCGTCAATGACCTGTGGAGCTAATTAAAAAAATCACACCAGTGAAAGTAGATATAATTTTTTCCTGGGGTTATATTTCCATAGCTCTCTGGTTAGTACCACATAGCTTAGTACAGCAGTAATCAAACAGCTTGTTCACAGAGTGATGTCAAGTAAAAAATTGTTTCCTTTTGAATTCCCAATTTTTAAAAAAACTCTAAAATACACAGAGGTTATGCGCTGTACTTACCTCTCCCCAGTCCACGTTTTTAGGTGGTAAGGGATAATATGAAGTTATATCATATGCTATTTCTTCCATAAACCACTTAAAACTTTTGCAGTTGTGATCTTCACGGAATTTTTTCAGCTCCGATATATCTCCATAGGGTAGCGCTTTTGTCTCCGGCCGACTGGCATAGAAGTAATCTTTGTATTCGTCCCACCATACCTCTACAACTCTGACGTAGTTCTGTGAAGAACAAAGACACTGCTGTGACCTCAAAGTACATGCAACAGGTCAGGCACAACTCCACATTAATAACTGAAATTTAAGGATTTATTCTCTTAAAAAGTAGCAGCTTGAAATTATTATATAGCACTAATAAATGGTCGCCATCAGTAGATTATACAAGATGCGTGAATATTATTTTCAAATTGCTGTTTAGGACTGAAGCCAGCAAATTAAACTGGGTTGCTTAATGAGAGTGCAAAGTCTTTTTCTAAGGTTAGAAAATGTCTATTTGAAATAAAGCCTTTTCAGTTTTGTGTGCAATAAAATGTTGCATTCATTTGCTGTTACCAGAACTGCAATTCAGGGTTTCTATTCACCTTCTACAGTTTTAATACAGAGAATGATACACGTTAGTCCACCAATGGGGAAAAATTCAGTCTTAAATGGGTCAGCTATTTGGAGAAGGGGGAAAACTGGATAGCTCACTTGGTGAACAAGCCTCTCTCTCACATCTTTCTTCTCATTCTCTTTGTTGGTTCCCACCTCTACATTACCTATACAAATTCTAGATGCACACCTTGCTTTGTACAATTCTTTAGCATTAATGACCTGGTGTTAAAACAGTCTTAAAATCTGACTAAAGGCACAAATTATTGTGACTTTAACCCACATCCAGCACAAATTGAACAAAGCTATAAAAAAAGGACATTTACTATGGGGGATAGGAGGGTACCTGAAGAGGAAAAAAAGCTATTTCTACATCTTGTCTTGGACAGAGAAGTAACTTAATATTTAAAAACATTCAGCAGTGTTTTGTTGCATTCAGTAAGCAGATCGGCAGAGTCATGTAAGGTGTTTATATATGCAGTAAATATTTTTTATCAGATTTTCAGAAGACTGAAATGGTTTTTATCATTTCTGACAAGGCAAACATATCTTGCCTGCACTGAGCAATGGAGCTATCATTTGCTATCCTGCCACCCATTGCTCTGTTTCTACTCCCAGACGTGTCCCCCTGGCCTCCCTTGTACTGGTCCTAGTCCTTGTTTCATCAAAATGTTAATCAATTCATGTTAGTAATAAGAGACTTTTTGGGAGGGGTGGTGCCAGGTTAGTTTTCTACCATTATACTAGGCTGGGACATTTCCTTTTCAACTAACTGCTATCTTGGCTCAATCCATACTCTAAAACCCTACCAGTAGTCATTGTCAAAGGTAATGTCTTGGAAGATTGCTCTGGGATTGGAATTTACAAGGAACTGTGTCTTTGGGAATGGGATTTACCAATGCCAAAACAGTACACAAGAGAAAGCTTAAACTAGGCTATAGGAAATCTTAGCAGAAGGGTTTCCTCTCTTCCTGCTGGTAGATGCAAACTGATATGGAACAGTTTTTCTTGATTCAAATTATCTCTTCAAATATAGACAGCTGGCTCACTCTTTTCTTGAGGTGGAGTCTAATTTTAATCTCACATCTTGATTAACATTTCTAGAACCTGCAAGGTACCTGAGGAGTTACCAACCTTTATGGTGAAATGCAAAGCATGCCATTTTCTCAGGTGTCATTTACTGCTTCTTAACTAACAAATGCAGTCACAAAAGTCTGAGAAACGCTAGATTACAGAATTTGCTAACTCAGCCTAGGATCACACCCTATCAAGATAAAGGGGGATTTCAAACCCATGATCATCATCTTCAGGAGTGTGCTATAGTTACTGGAGTTGTTCATACATAGTTGGGGACAGCCCAGAAAAGGCTTGAAGGGCTGACATTAATTAATATGAAATGTGATTTGTACCTCAAAGATGGTGGAGGAAGGTTTTAGAGCAAGAAGATGAGTTCCAGGAATTTTTACCCTTAATAACCGTGGGATTAACACAAAGATTTTTCTCCCACGAGGATGACCATCTTAGCTTTGGATACTAAACAGCTTTGGTGAAGTGCTTTCTAAATTATTACCGATAATTTCAGCAGATTTATCTAAAACTGTTCTTATCTGAAATCAAAACCACCTTCAAGGTTATATCAAAACTGTACCTTTAATGTAGGAGAAGACCCAACATACACAGGGGGTGGATTTCCTTGCCAGCCCTGAAGACGATAGATGTGTCCAACACGAGAACAGGGAACGAACAGCAATTTTCCCCCACACTGCCAGATCTACAAGTTAAAGCATAGGTATTATTAATATATATGCACAGGAATTTAAGACAGATAGATAATAAATTATGGAAGAAATGTCAGCTACTTTTCTTACTATATTGACTGTGATATATTTACATATTTTTTGCTTCATTTGTAAGCATAAAGAAAATAGGTCTCTGAAATGAAAGGCTGCACTGAATACATCTCCAACTCAGCCACGAAGCTACTCAACTAAAATACTTTGTTAAAAAGCTTTTTAAAAGGTTGGCCATCTCATTCCATTGTTATTTTAAAACAACAGTAACAAATGAGTGCACAAAATCTGGAACTGGGTAATTTTTATTATGGCAGAATAAATGATATTTTGATTTCATTTAAGTACCTCACATGCCATCACTAAAGTGGGTTTTGATTAGATGCCTATTCACATTTAAGTTTTTCTTAATAAAGACTAGTAGGGGATAAGGACGTCTTAGGTAACCCATTGCTCCAAGCAGAAACAGATTTTTTGTTAACTATAGTAGCTGAAAATAAAAAATGGGTAAAATATATTACATTTGAAATTCCCCCTCTCCCACACATCTTTGGATAATCCCTTTATGGGAAAAAGAAAACATACCTAAATCTGAATTTAATTGCTCATAGTTTGCACAAGTTTAGTTGTAGCAACAAATCCAAATTCAAGCTAACTTTGGGGATGTTCCAAATTCCAGATCAAAAATATAACTCACCAGTATTAGGAAAAATGGGCAGAATAGTTTACTTTCTTCATTGCATCATGATATTAATTTTCTTAAGTTTCATCAAAAAACCTCCTCAGATATGCAAGGCCATTCATAACATTTGCTATCTAGGAGCCAGCATACAAGACTGATAAATGCTTAGTTCTTCTGAAGATTGGTTGTGACCTACGTGAAACAAATTTGGAGGTCTCTACGTAATAAGCTTTTAAATTACAAAACTACTGTATGTAATTTCAATCATGATTTTGCTCTAAGGAAGATGGAGAATTATATGGATAAAGACCCTGTGTATTTAACATCCTCAATAACTACCTTTGCATATGCATTTACAGCTGAGCAAGTGCACTCAGAGCCTTCCTCTAAATCAAGAAGAGCAAGAGTAGCTAGAGGAGCTCTGAATGTACTTTTACTAAAATTCAGCTATGATTTCTCAGATTGCTGCTGAGGATATCAGACATCTCCACTTTTGTTTGTTAATTGGGACAGATTCCTGCTGTCTGCCACTTGTGTCATTATGAATACTGAAGCTGCAAGAAGCTAATGACGATAATCTTACATTTCCTGCTAACTGAAGAGCATGCATACGCCTAGGAGTGAAAATAAAATCCTCTGCAGTGATTATGAATTATGCAGTTAGCGTTTCAGTTATGAAGACTTCTCCTGTAAAGAAGTTCTCTATCATTGCTTTCATTAGTAACAGCATTTTTCTATACTCACTATGAGAGCACTTAGTTTCCCCTCATCAAATTTGACAGTGTGCTTTCACATTAGCTATTTGAGGGGGGGTTGCAATCCCAAACCACTAACAATATCTAGATTATGCATCATTTGTGTCTCAGCACTAGGCCACCTCTCTGAACTCTTCTGTCCCAAAGCCCACAAGTAAACACTGAGGAGACACATCTCTGACATAATATCTCCTCACAACAAAACCTTCTGGGCTTCATGAGTCAGAGGTAGGTCTGCCTGAACTCCAAACAGAAGTATTTACAGAAAAAAAAAATCTATTAAATTGAATTAAGTTTCAAATATTGATGTTACCTTGTAAGAAATTTCAAAATTTTCGCCACCCCAAATTTGAAGCCCTGGATCATAGAGACCTAGTTCAAAGAAGAAATCACGTTCAATGGCAAACAATCCACCAGCCATTGCAGGGGATCTGAAAGAGAAAGACAGTGTAACCCCTTCTGTCCAAAGTCTCACTTTCAGAGAAAGCAATAGTTAAAGAAGCAATTCACAGTTAACATATAGTAAAGATCAGGTAAATGGCAATACACTGAAAAATCATGAAGCTTTGTCACCAGATTGCAGCAATTTTTTGAAGTGACATCTATATAACTTTTACTTAAGTCATAGTTTTTATTATGTTGTAGGTTTTCTTCTAAAATTAATTTATTTAATTAATGAATTTAGTGATACAAAATTTTGGTCCAAATTATCCATTCAGCCAGTCAGTATGCTTCTATTAATATAAATTTAAAAAAAAAGGAGATAAGAATCAGTGTCATGAGATGTTTCTCTCTTGAAAGTTTTTCAAGTTTTTGAGATAACATATGAGACTGCAAAGCAGACTTAGGCTTATGTTCTGAGGAGCTGCCACATTGAAATATATTGTCTATTAAACAAGCAACAGAGTTTTCCCAGCTGAATGATACCTTTCTTATCTTCTTCCTCTAGCTCTTTTTCTACTGCTGCCATAGGAGACACTTTGTATTACACTCAGTAAAATTTTTAAGAGGGTGTGGATAAAGTTGTACAAGGTTTCCATTTTGGTTTAGTCTTTTTTTTTCTTCTTCTTTTTTTTTTGCCTTTAATGGCTTTGTAAATCCCTTCCCATATGGCAAGATTCAATTAGCAAGTTTTAATGTGTCAAAAAGATGCTGTGGTTTGGATTAGAGCATGTGCTGGTTTTGGCTGGGGTAGAGTTAATTATCTTCACAGTGGCTGGTATGGGGCTATATTTTGGATTTATGCTGAACACGGTGTTGATAATATAGAGATGTTTTTGTTACTGCTGAGCAGTGCTTGCACAGAGACAAGGCCTTTTCTGCTTCTCATACTGCCACACTGGCAAGGAAGCTGGGGGTGCCTGGGGGGCTGGGAGGAGACACAGCCAGGACAGGTGACCCCAACGGACCCAAGGGATATTCCATACCATATGACATCATGCTCAACATATAAAACTGGGGGGAAGAAGGGAGAGTGTTTGGAGTGATGCTGTTTGTCTTCCCAAGTAACCGTTATATGTGATGGGGCTCTGATCTCCTGGGGATGGCTGAACACCTGCCTGCTCATGGGAAGCAGTGAATGAATTCCTTGTTTTGCTTTGCTTGTGTGTGTGTCTTTTGCTTTCCCTATTAAACTGTTTTTATCTCAACCCATGAATTTTCTAACTTTTACCCTTTGGATTCTCTTCCTGATCCTACTGCTGGGAGCATGAGCAAGCAGCTGCATGGTGCTTGGTTGCTGGCTGAGGTTAAACCACAACAGAGCATTTTTGCAGAACAGCTCTAAGCAAAATTCTTTGGTAGCTTGGTCACACTGAAACAGAGAGTAGGATATGTTAAGCCATTTCCAGTGCACATAGCAAGCATTTTTCACCTGAGGATCTATAAATACATGAAAACCCTAATGTATACAATCTAGAGTCCTTAGTAAGTTGACAATTAAAAAAAAAAAGGATAAAGTGAATTCTTTCTGACTTCAAATGATCTGCAGTGCTGAAAGGAGGATCCGAGAGTCCAGATCACCCTGGTGAGCCAAATAAAACATAAGTGAAATACTCCTGCATCACCAAATTATTGAGATGGGTCATTTCAAGCACTATTCATCCATTTCTAGCACTATTCATAGTCTCTTCATTCTATTAGATTTCTAGCTTAGTGGTGTTCCTTTTAACAGCAATGTTAATGTATTTCCTTTCCACACATAAATGTCTGGAGAAAGACATAAGAAAAAGTAACCCCTTAGGGTTAACATATATCCCTCTCTGCATAGCAGAGGCAAGGCAACAGAAACAGAACCACTGACTGTAAGTATTATGGTTATCAGTTTAGTTGCTGTCCAAATCAGCTGATCAGATGCCAAGTTACTGCTACTTGCTGCCTATTGTATTTTCCTCCAACACTGCTTTTGTATCCCAGTGGTTCAAAGGGTAGGAAACCAGCAGGCACAGCAGGGGGAAGCACACTGCACAGCACAGCCCCATGGCTTTCCTGCACTTTTGGTTTTCCTCAGCACCATAAAGACTTGGCAAGTGCAGATACTGAAGTTTCAGTCGGGGCCTCCAACGTGCTGTCAAGTGTGTTAAAGAACACAGTAAAATCTACATAAGCTCAGTAGTTTACTTTATAGGATATGAAGAGGTAAGCATAATGTTACTGAAAGAAGGATTCAGTCCTCGGGCAATTCTCACATTACAAAAGGTTTGTCTCTGTGCTTTAAGCTGTTGAGGATATTTTGTCTGTTTTCCTTTTAAATTAAGCAATCCTGGCTATGGTTTCAGCAAGACTTTTACTTGGTCTTACTTGCCTTGGTTCTGCTGCAAGAAAATGCACACAGCCTGAACATAAACAGATGCAGGGCATTTCTCTGAAAGTATTATTTAAAATAAAGTCATCTTTCAAACCATTCTGAGAACATGTGTTTTGTGTTGCTGGGAACTGTTTAAAGGATTTTAAGACCTGTTTGGATGGTAAACACAGAACACAACAGTGATTTTTGAAATAGCTTATCCTCCTCTAAGCAAATATTAAAGTTCCAATGTGGACAGCCTCACCAGAAAATGGTATTATTTATACTGTATACAAAACAGATCAAACCTTCATAACTTGCTTGCATGTGTTGCCATTTTAGCAAAGAACAATCATGGGTGAGGATAGGGAATTACCAACATCAGTTCTAACAATGTTTAAATCATATATACAAGCAATAGAAGACATCAGATTCTGAAGATGTGAGGATTGCTTTCAAATGTAGTAATACAATTAGTTAAGTGTGAAGTAGAAAGTAATAAAAACCAGCAGAACCTCAGTCTCCCAGTCTTGAAAAGCCAATCAGAAACCCTAGTTTCTAAGCTAGGGTTTCTAGCCAGTTTTGATTTTTTTGGGAAGAAACCGTACCCCACTACAAAGTGTAATAAAAAAGCAGAACTTCTGTGGAAATTATTGGAGTTTTCTCATAATATAAGGTGCTGTTTTAATCTTTATTCCTTTTTATTTTTAATGTTATATGTATTATATTAAAATTTTTTGAAAATATCTAGCCAAGATTCTTAAACAGTATGCTTCTTTGTCAGATGTGATCTATTATGAAGCAAGTGGGAGAAATATGACAAAAGGGATTTTTTTGATACACATGCATAATCCACCAGCTGTATGCATGCATCAGGCCATGACAGCAGGCTACAGATTTTATGCATTACCTTCTATTATAAATACTTACAGCATGCTTGTTATTTCAAATCAAATGGTTAAACAAGCACTGTTGTTTCCAACACTACTTCAAAAAAAATATCATAGCTAAATAGAGTTTCCCTGGCAATGAAGTTATACAATATTTTATTTTGCCAAACAAAACCCGGTCATTCTAATGTGCACCCTATTAACCATATAAGAGCAGGAATAGAGAGGCAACACAAGGTAGCAGAGATATTTTGTGCAAATAGGCAGTTGTGGCAAACAGGTCCAACTAAACAAAGCAGTTAGTGTGGTTAGAAATGTGAAGGTTTTCAGGCTGGAAGTACATGCAAGTTTTAGTGGATCAATATTGACTTCAGAAAAAAAAAGAAACGGGTAAGTGATTTAGTGATTACCGATACGGTTCAGTTTTTGTCTTTCTGCTTTCCTTCTCTTTCTTGGTCAAGGGAACCCTCTTCCATAGCATACTCCAATCCCACGCTCCTCTAGCAAACCCATCTTCGTCACCACCCCCTTGGGGCACAATCTTATAAGTGTTGCCATCTATGACATCTATAAGCGGCACAGTGCATGTGGTTCTGCAGGGTGGCGGGTGGTGGCAGGGAAGATGCAGGTATGTGCAAGGACCCGCATGGCACACGTGCACCGACCGTAGTTCATGGGGAAACAGGGGTGGAGGGAAAAACGAAAGGGTTTAGAAAATTATTCATAATGATTCACAGTATGTAAACAGCTCTCTTTACCGATAAGGTTCAGTTTTATGCTTTCGTTTGGACTTTTCCTTGTGGTTTAACGGAATTCGTTTCCATAGCAAACTCCAGTCCCAGGCCCCTCTGGCAAAACCATCTTCATCCCCACCTTGTTGTGGCTCAATGGAATAATCATTCCCATCTATGTAATCTATTAGAGGTACAGTACATGTAGTTCTGAAACATTTATAGAAGGGAAAGAAAGAGCAAAATACAATTTCAGAAGAGCAATCTCTCTAATCTGAAATTTACACCATTAATTAAACTTATAGAGCAGTGTATATAAAAAGTCACTTGTAAACATATTAAAAAAATGAAGCATCATTAGAAAAAAAAAGATATAGCTTTTTCTTTATGCTGGTTTAAGAGGTTCTGAAAACAAAAGAGTTAGGTCTGAGATGCAAATATATCAATTTGTTTATCAGCACTTTTTCTGTTACGTGTACTTCTTGACATTGGTCTTCTAATAAAGCACTGCTGAAGGCAACAGAGGAGCCCTCAGAGGGCTAGGGTTCTCATAGTATTATTATTTCCTGTAATTTCTATTCATATTAGATCTTAGCTCTCAACAAGTATGATGAATTCTTGGCTTTTACTAGCGTTAACACGGATATTCATTATTCTGTCCTATTCAACTGCCCTGAAAATACAGCCTTTCAGGATAAAAAAACATTACTAGTGCTCTCCTAGCAGCAGTCTTCAGTAGAATTTTTCCTGTTTGCTTTGCAATACAATGCTCATTGTGATTGATCATATACGATATTCACCAAGGAAAAGACATTATCTCCCCACATTTTCTAAATGAGTTTCCTAGTGACCAAACTTGGAGCACTTCCATGTTTTTAAGTGAAATCTTATGAGATAAAAGAGTGGTGGAAAAAGAAATGTTAACACCATGCTCCTCTTTGAGGCAGCAGCAGCAGCAGCAGCAGCATGCTGCATCCAGGGCTTGGAAGAAGGCTGCCAAGCACTGCCCTCTGGCACCATGTGTAACCTCCACCTCCGTGGGCAATGCTGGAGGATGCCTCTAAAGCTGCCTGGTCTCACCAGCCTTTCTTGTGTCAAACAGTAATACACACTCAATGGAAGCCCACAAGCATTTCCATCTTCTCTCTAGTATCTTGACTCAAATATAGTCTTGAAGTTGAGTTACAGCCTTTAAAACACACAAAACCCAATTCTTCAAGCGAATTCTGGAAGCACAACAGGTTAACAAATAGTTTTTAGGATTAAGCAGCTATTTCACGGTATTAAAGAGTTTAAACATGGTTTCCTAAACACATATATCCTTGACTACACAAGCTAAGAGTGTGGTGGCACACAACAACAGCATTTTAACAGTTGGAAGAAATGAAACCCCCAGATATCTCTCTCTTCTGTCACCTCTCACAGATCTCCCTCTCACAATGCAGGAATTTCAACCAGAAACTCCTAGCAAGTGCCTGGGCTTGTGGTAGAGACAGGCTCAAGCCCTGACCTCGCTTTGTTACAAACAACACTCCAAAGTACTTCAGAGCGAACAAATAAGGCCATATATCAAGACCAAAGATGAGAAAGTTATAAAACTTTTGAGATCACAGAGGCTTTAAATCCCCATTAAATCAAAACATTTATTGCTACTTTTCCTCTACCAAAAATCAGGTTTTTGTTTAGTTATTTTGTTTAGTCAGGCTCCTTATTCAGCTATAACAGAACATTTTATAACAGTGCCTCAGATCATTGTAAAAAACAAGAGTTGTCTTACATGCAATCTACACTATGCAAAATATTCAGTATGCCTATTAAAACAAACTATCTAGAGATTTACTTGCCCGACTATTTTCCTTCCTCTTTATGTATCTTTTATGCTGTGGGATAATGTAATCATCATACAGAAAATATTTATATAGTTTGATATAGATATAAAACATATTGACTATAGTTTGAAAAGTGAAGATTGTTACTGTGCTTTTTTTCCCCTAAAAGGTCAGACACTGGAAATAACGGCAGAACATTACCTGTCCTTAGATATAGGAGCTATAAGTGGTGCATACCAATTAATTCCCACCTCACAATGGGCATCAAGGTAAACCAAAACCTTCAAAAGAAAAAAAAAATATATTTCTGTATACAGGATTGCAGTGATTTAATTACGCTTACTTACACTGAGATACAGACATATAAACATGAAAATGAAGATTGAGTAAAACTGATCTATTATTAAAACAGTATCAATAATATAATAATATAATACTACATTTCCACATATCTATTGGAACCACCAAAACCTCTCCCTCAAAAAAAGATAAAAAAGACAGACTTGTGTGTGAACTGGCTCCTACCTGTCCTAGTTTAGCCTTCTGGGCTCCAATACTTCTAGCTTGGATCAAACCTTCTCTCCTCTCATTTCGAAATACCTTTACAAGGCCATTCCACTGCTTAATATAGTCATCCAGCCTCTCTTGTAAGTGTGCTATCAAATAACAAAGAAAAAAATTATTTTGGTGAGTTTTAATAATAAACAGTTTTGTACTCTTAATACAACCCCAAAATATCTACAGACCTTTACAAGAACCTTTATTTCAACCACTCACAAACACTAAAACTGAGGAGATCAAGATTTTTGACCTCATGGCACAGAGGTTTATCTCTAGCACATCAAAAGAAAAAGCATCTGAAGTAGCTGGCCACACCACAGGGAGCTGGGTCAACAATTCCCAATCACTTCAATATACGACATAGTAGCTTACAGGTTTTCATCTATATTCCAAGAGGGCAGAGAAGTTTCTACATTTTAGCATACAGACTTTCCTCATCAGATAATGTCACATGTACAGTTGAAGGCACCATTTCTCAGTTAAACTTTTCCTTCACTTTCTGCCTCATAAAATTTTCTGTCAATCTATTAAATCTAGAAACCTGAGGCAAGAACCCACCATGCTCAGATTATTGCCCTTCCTCATACAGACCTGTTCCCTCCTGGGGAGGTCTTCCACTAGTCTTCTAATGAAATTAATAAGAATAATTGGAGGGCCAGAAGTGGAAATGGGACCTTTGTCAGTAAAGGGACAAGTAACCATGTAACAATCAAGATGAGCTATGCTTAAATGGCTTCGGATTTGTATTTGCACATTGGTCTTTGCCAAACTACTCTGGAAACCACATTCCTGTTGCACAATGTGAAAAAAGGATCCTAGTGTTGCATAATATTTTGCCCAGATGATTCTGTTGAGAAAACTCATGAAGGCAGCAGGGCTGATAATCAAGCACCTCCTGTTTGAGGCTATGCTGATTTAGCTACTGGTGTTCATTTAAAATCTATTTTTGTTCTGAAAGGCTCAAAAGAATTGCCTACAGCTTCAGTTTCTCTCAGTCAGGAACCAAAATAAGCCACTTTAGCTACAGCCGAGGCATCCATGCACTGGTTTGCATCAGCTTCAAGGGGCTGATAGATGCCTGTGCTGATCTAACCAGGAGAGGGGACATGTGGAGGTGGAAGAAGAAGGATGTCCCTTTCAACTGCAACAGGCCATCAGGTTACTTCAGTAGCAACATTTCTTGCAAACTGAATGAAAACGATGAAGTCCGGAGACTTCTGCAACTTAGTTTCAGTGTATTTTATATTTTATTCTAGTTTATATTTTATATTTATATTTTATTCTAGTTTAAACAAAAGCTACATATAATTGTAGTGGAAATGGTGTTTTTTTGAAGTGAAGCTTCCAAAATTGAAAATTCAGCAATTTTATCAAAGAACAATCTTCTGAAATCACTATCTTTTGATACGCTTATTATCCTTCCTCTCCATCTTTATAAAAGAATAAGTTTTCTCAACTGAGTTTTATGTATTCTCTTCTCACACACATTTACAATTTCTTTTGTAAATCCTGGTGCATTAGGAGAACCTCAAGGATACACAAATGTCAAATTATAGAAAGAACAATTTTATCACATATGCTGAATAGAATAACATACCATGTAATAAATAGAGAATATATGATATGATAGCTGTGATATAAATTTTTATAGGATAAAATCAACAGAGTTTTGAGGTCATACTGAAGTGGTACGAAGAGAATCTTTATACCACACCATTATTTATGCTGCAAATTCCAAGTATGTGTTACAGAAGGACTGTCAGGATTGTTTTAAAGATTTAAAACCTTAAGTTATTTCCAGCTCTCCTGCCTATGAAGCCAAATGTTTTAGTTATCAAATGTTCAACTATGTAAGGCTCACAGGGAGCTGTAAAAACCTGTCATATTGATTGTGTAAAGCTTTTCTACAGTAGAAGTCTCAGGACTGTGCAGTCCATTATCTGAAACCATGCCAGGGTTAGCAGCAAGTGCTATTTCCCATAGGAAACCTGAATTTTTCCTCCTTCCCATACTACAAAGCCTGCATGACAGCAGTGTATAAAATCGCAATACTTTTACAGATAAAAATACTGTTTGGCCAGCATTAAATTTTGTTCACCTAGAATATGTATTTATGACATCTGTCAACAGCCTTACAGAAATCTGGTTTTTGTTCAAAAATGTATATTTTATCTTTCAAAATATTATAACCACCAATCTGGCCTTCTCCTGTTTGAGTTCCTCTCTCATGTTTGACCGCATGATTAAAGCATGAATCAGTGTCTTTTAAAAACACATCATTCCTCCAAAGATCTTAGGCGTTGCAGATGAGAAGGAGGGAGGAGGAGGAAAGCAGTTTTTTTCCCTGTGACTCATGGACATTAGAGAACTAGAAAAATGGTATCAGAAGTCCTCCCTAAAGCAGCTGCCTTTGACTACCCTGAGCTGTAATACTACTAATGTGGGGCTCTTGACTCTAACACAAACCCTGATCAGTGCTTCAGTTTTCCCACGGCAAGCACCATTAAACAGGTTAATAAAAATACTGTTACCTGTCTACTCTCATTACTTCCCTTCTGGTTATCTCACAGGATGTTACATCAGTGGGAAATACAGATAGCAATAAAGAAAAAAATAAGTAAACACAAAAGGTAGACAAAGCCTTTAAATGCTACTAGGAACACTGGTACTGACCTCGCAGTCACTCTTTACAGGTGCACAGACTACAAAAGCTGCACCAGCTGAGATATTGACCTCTATGCTCCAGAAAGAAAGCAAGCTGGTACCCAAATAGGTAACAAGTGGTTGAAGACCTAATACACAACCGTAATTGTAGGAAGCCTTAGAAAATACAGTTTTATGAATTCTCTTTGCCCTTCCATAACAGCTGTTTCCTTCACACAGCTAACACTCACAGAAAAACAAACTGTTTCTATGAAGAAACACAAGAAAAACTGGGAAAAAAACCCATGTGCAACAGTGTGGCCTCACTGACACTGCTGCAACACTTCTCAGACCCTAATACAGAGGTCTCCATTGAAAATGGAGATATCATCATTTACTTAGCTAGGCATCATCTTCTTGTTACTGTTCCCTTTGTGCTCTGACAAAGGAAAAAAATGCCAGAGTAGAATTCAGCACATATCTCTGCACAGTTCTCCACAGTCAAATCCCGCTGTTTGCAGAAGAGATTAAGGAAAGAGTGTCATTCAGCAAAAAAGACTGCTCCCAACTGACTTTATACAAAGAATTATAATGCAAAGAACATTTTCCAAGCATTGCAACTGTTCCTCCCTGTAAGGCATAACATATATAAGCTTCTATGCAGCTGCAACTCCCTTCTGATGAAAGAGGATTTCTCAAAAGGAAGGACAGGCAGGGTTTTTATGAGCCAGTCTTTAGAAGTGTTTGCAACCACTATATTCCATTTTAATTTTATATCGCTGGAGAAGGCAGCAGCTAAGAAATAAGGACAGTCACACTGAGTGTGAGCAAACATCTACCCAGTCCAACACTGGTCTCCAAGAGCATAAGATGGTCTTTGCTGAGTGGAAAGGCAGATATGAAGTGTGCAGCCTGAAAGTAGGTGGGGAAAGAGAAAATCTTGTATCTGTACTATCAGCATGGCTTTTCTTCTGGCTGGAAAAGCAAAAAGCTGCCAGCAGCTCTACTGTGATTAAGAGAGTTTGTGTTTTGCAGCTCTCCTAACAACTGGAGATGTCTTCAGGCAGCTTGGCATGCTTTGCAGCCCATACTAGTTCATCTTTCTCTCTGGGGATAAATAAGTGGAGTGAGATTCTACTCTCTTGGCCATTTTTCATCTAGAACACAATTTGAATTATTGAAATTAAGTTAATTATATTTACCAAGTAATAGCCTAAAGCAGTTTGAAGAATTATTATAGTTAAATAGTGCAGTTGCAGCAAGGTGTTCAGAGCAATTCCAGCCTGTGCTTGTCTTCCAGTCACTCATACCTGGGAAAACTGCACCTTGAGCTTTCTGTATTAAATTTTCTGATTCAAAAAAGTTACTTGGGAAACTGAAGTTTGGCAAATACAGAGGCAAAAGTCTACTGGATGTTAGGTCCAGGCTAGCTATATCTGCTAACCATTCATTTATGAGTAGAAAGCTAGAAAGTTCTATATTTCAAAATAAATTCTTGAAAAATACTGCTTTTATTTAACAAACATCATCTATTGGAAAACTAGTATGAGTTGTTATGCCAGACAAACTCATTAACATGAACTACATATACATTGTAGAGTCAGCTACAACTCATGTGAAACCCAAATACTGAGCCCTATCATTAGTAAAAAATCTGTTAAGTTTTCTAGAGACAGTCAGTGTCATAGTTACTTTATACAGCTAACTCAGTCCTTGAATAGCTCTGAAGGAAAGCTGTGATACCAGCTGAAAAGCAAAACACAGTATATGTCTGCTGACTGAATTATTAAAATTATATCCCTTACGAGAGAAGATACTTTCATTTTACAGCATGTGCGTATATCTAAGCCAAATTCTCAACAGCTGTTAAAGGATACAGGAGACTACAATTTAGCATTCAGAATCTTTATTAGACTAAGCTAAACACAGTTAAGTTTACAAAACAGGGAATGTTTCCTCTCCTGTTAAAACAAACAGAAAATGATATCTACCTATCTACAGGTACAATGTGAGAATTGACACAAAATAACTATTTTTAATAGTGACTTATACTCAAAAAAAGGTAAACTCAGCTACGTGATGAGTTCAGTTTTAAAATTTATAGTGGATATACCCACAGAAAACAACTCCCACAAGGCTGGAACTGGGAGAAGCCCAGATCACTTAATAAAAACGAGAGTTTCAGAACAGTCATCTGTTTTCTATGCCGCTGCACAATTCAGCTATTATAAAAACAAAGAGGAGGGTATCCTGTGCTGCTGACCAAACTTGCCTGTGCTCCTAAAGTCATCATCATTGTCTAGAAGAGACTGTTACTCCACACATTCAAAATTATGACTTTATTTATGGGTCTACCCTTTTTCTCTTTGACTTCTATTCAAGAATTATGCTGCAATAAAATCCTACAGAATGTGCAGCTCTGATGCACTCTTTTGAAATTTGTTTAAAGTTTAAAATCAGTCAGATTTCCTCTATATCAGTCAACTTATATCTCTAGGATACCATTTTCAGTTCTTCTCTATATTCAGCCTTGAGTTGCATTAACACTGAAGTTATCACCATTAAAGGAAAAAAAAATCAGTTTACATTTATATTTATACGAATCACATATAAGTACCTGCATCCTGACTACAAAACCAAGACTAGAATGTAAATCACAAAGGATGAAGAAAATCTCTGGACTTTTGTTGATATGTAGGACTCAAAGAAAGGCAGAAATTAAAACATACTTAAGTTCTTATAAGCTCCTTCCCTAAATAAGAAACAATAAACAGCTTAATATAATGTTTAATTTAAAAAGGATGTCAGAATCTAAGAGGATATTGAAAATGAATCAGATAATTTGATATCCTTAGATACCTTTAATTACAGTTAAAAACAAAACAAAAAAGAGACATCTAAATTCCTATATGGAATAAAGAAAGGAGTTATTCCTAACAGGCTTAGCTCAAATGCCTTTGATACTGTTCAAACTACTTGCTTTCACAAGAGCTATGAGGGGTACTAGGTATCCCAGCTTTCTTCTATATACTACTCAACAACTGTGGTAGAGAACTTGCTACAAATCCTGTATTTCAAACAATGAATACAAAGGATTGCCACCTTTACAAGAGCAGTTCATTGGAAGAGCTTTCCCTTCACTGAAAACTCAAAGGACTGTGAAGAAGCAACCTACTTTCCTTCCAGAGTCAACATGGCAGGTAATAAATCAAAAGAAAACTATTTTAAGAAAATAAAAGTTTCCTTTTCTACAAGTAGTGTGTTAATATTCTGAATATACCTTTGTTGCTAAAATCATCAATCAGCACAATTTCTGCCAAGTATTTCCTTGGTGTTCTCTTAATGACACTGTGGACTGTCCTCATGAGCGTGGACCATCCTTCATTATGGAAGACAATGACAACGCTGGAGGTGAGCAGGTTATCGTCATAATGCCAGTATTTGCATCTGTAAAAAGATTTGATTTTATTAGTTTTCACAATGTGATTACAGAACTGCTTAACCACACCTTTGTGCAAATGACATCTTCACTCATGGATATCCTTCAAATTTAAGAGGAAGAGGATTTAAAAGGTAATACAGCTTAAGTGCATTACAGAGGTATGAGGCCCAAAGAGCAACTTCCTTCCCACCTAGAGCCTTTTTTCCTCCTGAAAGAGGTGCGATGCAGCTGGTAAATGATGACTTCTGCCTCAACATTTACATGCTTCCTCCTGTGTAGGTGGCTGGTATTGCACAGACCCCACTAAGAGACCCCTGTCACCACCACCACCACCACTTTGCTGCTTGAGCAGCCAGTAGAGAACAGTGGAAGAAAAGACCCAGACTGCAGCTGCGATGAGTGTCCTCTTCAAAACATCACACTTCAGGATGGGCTGTATATTTGGCCACCAACTGCATCATGTACGCAATAAGGAAGTGTTGTTTCTTCCTAAGGCTCTTTAAATCATATTTACCCAGTAGAAGGACTCTATAAAATATTTCTGTTTGCTTTATACAGTCCACATGCAGAATCTGCATAATTAGCAAAGTTACATTGTTGTGGCAAGGCAAAACTCATTAATTTCTGCTCTTTCACAATAAAATAAATTTAAACATAGTAAACTTGCTAGAAGTACAGCAGCAGCACATGAAAAGCTCATGTCATCTGCTATGCATAAAACTATTTCCTTTTGCAAAAACCATCAGAAAAGCATAGTTACTCATAGGAAACATGTAATCCCATGGCAGAGAAAATGTGATTTTTACTGTCCATTATACATGGTTAAACTTTTAGGTTAACTAGCTAAAAAAACCAACCTTACCAAATCCATTCAGCCCTCCATTCCCTTACTCAAAATGCTAAGTCATGTGTTTCACCATATGCAGGAAGTTAACAGCTTTGGCTAAATTTTTGCAATCATACATTTCTCTTTTAAACAAAATACAAACAAAAATTAAAAAAAAAAAAAGACTGCCAAACACAAGTTTCAAATCTGGCCCAATTTCAATGGGCTCCTTCCTTGAAAGATATGAAAACACAAGGATAAAAAAAATACAAGACAAGAGAGAAGAAACCAAACAAAAATACTGCAGAAAACTCAAAGGAATAAAGTGAGAAACTGAACACTGAAGTGCTGCCAAATTTTAGAAAAAGACAAGAATTCATAAATCATTTGAAAGTGTAATGTCTATATAAAATTGGACAAAAACACTATCACAATAACAAAGAACACACATTTTGATCAAAGTTAACAGTTTCTAACTCTCCAAATGCATTAAATGGGAATTCAAGTAACAGGTTCAATTTAGCATGCATCTGGCTATAATATACATCTTTCTAGTAGCCAACATGACAGATCACAATTGCATCAACAGAGTGCGCAAGACTACCCAGTGTCAGAAAGAGTGACATAGGAAACGTAACTATTGCTTATGTTCATCTCTACTAAACTTTTTCAATTGAAGTATCTGTATCAATGGGTTCTAGCTTGGTGTGCCATGAAACTCTGTATTCATTTAAAACATTTTGCATTTCTATTTCTCTGTGGACCTGGACTCGGGTGTTTTTTCCTGTTAGAAAACAAGCAATATGAGTACTTCAGTCCACATTTTCCAATACCTATTAATCACATTTATAAACAACGGATTTAATTTGCAACTATAATGTCCATTTCTCCAACAGCATCTCAAAGTGAGACTGTTCACAGTCTCCCTAATTACAATCAGTCCAAGTATTTCCTTAACTGGAAGTTTCCCCAGCTGATCACTAGCCCCTTTTCCAACTATAATAATTCAATTCCTATCACCAAACACACAGACATTTGATTTCAATGAGCAAAATCCTTCCTTTTTTCATCTTTCAGCAAGTAAAGTCTTTAATAGAGAAAGTCTGACTTTTCAAAGACATCTGTCATGTATTAAGAAATTATTAGTGACAAATAAAAACTTTTAAACTTACAGATGCACAAACTTCCATAGTTGTAGTTCTCTATATACAATAAGAAGTTTAAGTGCACAGAAACATTCCTGTGTTTGAAAAGAATGCCCTTTATCATCAGAAATCACCAGAGTTTCTGAAACTACATTCAGTTAAACATGGAAAGAACTCAACAGATCTACAGGTATTTAAAGAGTGTGTCTTTGGTGAAGAAGGACACATTTCACTTATTGTCAGGGAACAGCATAAATATTTATTTCTCACCTCACAGAAAATGAAAGACATTTGGTAGAAACATGCTATTAATTTTGGTCCTGTGGGAAAAGAAAATTACAGAATCAAAACAGACTACAACAAAATGGTATCTAATAAGGCATTTCTTTTCTTAGGTGAGCTGTAAGCAACGTCTGAAACAGCACGATCACTAAAAGTACGACTTACTGACTAAAGTCCTCCAGCTCAATTGTTTTTATGCCTGAAGTAAATGCAGCTAATCAGTTACAAATTACCAACATACAAGTGCTAGACTGGCTCTTTAAAAGGTTCAGGCCACAGATGCCTTCCTTACACAGATCCTTCTCAAAGATTTCAGCTGATTACAGATTGCAGTGCTACCATTTGTAGCACAAGCATTTAAGCTGTCAACAACTTACTTAGCCATTTGTAGAGATAAAATTGATATCCTACCTAGGTGTGTTAAGTGGGGTGTGTAAAAGGAATATTTAATATGTTTAATAACAGATTTATACAGAATTGTGTTGCTTTACACATATATATTAATTTTGGTGATACCGTTATGTTAAAATAGAGGAAAGTGAGGTGTCATACATTCAAAAAAACAGCATACCAGCTGAATGTTGTTCAAGAGCTCTGTTTAAGAGGTAGTAAAATAGCACTTTTTGCCTCAAAGGAGAAGGTAGTATCTGATGCATCTTGCACTGTGCCCCTGACCTGCACCTTCAGCAGTTTAGCCAGGAAACTGTTTTGCTCTCCAAATAAAAAGACCACAGTTTCAGACTGCTTTCAAGGGCAAAACCAAAGCAAACACTGAAAAAGAACTCAAATCTTTTGGTTGCTTATTTCTTCCACTTCCTGCAGTATAGGTTAGTCATATTTAGCAACAAAATGGTGAAGAGCATAAGAATGAATGACAGTATGTAGCTTTATGTAATTTTAAAAAGCCAAACCAAGTACAACCCCCTGAATTTAACAATACATCTGTGAGCAATTTATAACACTTAAGCAATTTTTGATCTGTATTTAATAAATTTTTAAAATATAAAACCAAAGGTCTAGAAAGGCTTTTTGCTATACATCTGACTTAATCTCTTCAAATCTGTCAACACACTTTACTTTTTAAAGTTGAAAAATCATGTGTTGCTAAATGTGCTATTTGCAAGCAGTGAAGCACTAAATTTATATCTCTAGTAAGAGCATGTTTTTAGTTTTTTTCCAGAGACTTTATTTCACTCATTAGACAGTCCATAGATTGAATCATCAAGCCCATAAACTCTGATAGACTGCAGTAACTCTTATGCACAATCTTCTCTCTCATCTTACACTGAGAACTAGAGGTTTGAAATATAGTAGTTGTTTCAGATATGTGCAATTAATACATTTTTTAATCTCTGTGGTAGTTTTTTCCCAATAAATGTGATGGTTGCTCAGGGTTCTGAGCAACAAAAGTCAGGAGCCTCAGCTCTCATTTCCTTCATATCTTCAGGGAAGGAAGCCGGGAAGAGCCTTTCCTCAGTGGAGCAGCACTGACATCCAGTGGTGGGCAAACCACATACCAAGAAACCATAAATGCATTTTCCTTGTGTTTGAAGCTAAATTTTAGAGTACTGTTTTCCCTCCAGGTTTTAGGCACCAAAAAAGGAAAATAATATGCCTGAATTTCCAAGAACTTTCTTCAGTTTTAAAAGAGAGGGTCAATGTTCAGGCAAAAGCTGCAAGCTATCGAAAACTGGCATGAGCAGATTCAAAGTACAAAAGGGTTTGTGACAAAGAGGATTTAAATATGTTTCAGCCTCTAGCTTCATCTGCTGGGTGCAGTCCTGCCCACATACTAGCACAATGCCCATTCAGGTGTAGCCTGCAGGCCAGCTGTGGCAATATACCGTGCACCAAGTTAGTTAACAAAGTCACTTAAAAAAATATTTTGAATTCTTATTGGTATAGCTGAGAGGACGGCACACTGCAACAGATTTGCAGGAATAACAGGGTAGCATCCTCAAGCAAGTTTTGCCTCTAGACAGTCACATCACTTTTCCTGAATCCTGTAAAGAGTTACTGTATCGGCAAGAGTAACAGGCATGCACAGATCTGTGAAGGGCTGGCAACACCTTATCTGGGCAGTGCTGCAGGGAAGAGCAGCTCTGTTTGTTTCCCCTTTCCTTGAGGGACTCATGAGTGAAAGGAAACAACACCTTCAGTCCGTGAATAAAAACTTTCCATTCCCAAATCAGCACCAGCATTACTGAGCAAAACCAGAAGTGACTCATCACTGGAGCAAGTCAAAAGGCACAGCAGTGATCTAATTGAGGAACAGGGTGAGTAATGTTTCTTCTGACTATTAGCCTGCATACTTGGGATGTGAATTAGTTCTACTCCCTCTCCACCCCTAGAGGAATAGCACTGTTGGAGCCTGTGCCACGTCAGGATCCCTTATCCCTCAATCATAAAGCTGTGCACCAGCCACATCAGAGAGGAGCTCTTTTATGGGAGACCCCTCTGGACAACAACCTGGGCATCTGGGCTAAAGTGCTCCTTGGCTTGAGGAAATTTCTGCTCTTACAGCTTTGGACTCTGTTCATTGGCTTGCTCTTACAGATGTCCTGGGGCCCCACAGTCATGATCATGGGTACATGGTCCAAGGATGGGATGACCGTACAGACTCCCTGTTAGTAACTGCTGAAGACGCAGACACAGACTCGAATTTCCTCAGGCTAAAAAGAGCCAAGACTGGAGTCTCCTTCTCCTGGAAGAGTAATCCAGCCACCAAACAAAAATGCGAGAACTGAAAAAG